ATTTTTTAGTGACCAACGATTTTTGTGCGTTTTTACGCTGCAACATCAATGCGAAATACGTGAGCCGTTTTTTTGGGAACACGTACACAAAATCTGAAGCATTTTCGTCTTAAGGGGTACTGGATCGAAAAGACTGGCTAGTCTTCACGCTGTGACTAATATTTTCATAAAATTGCAGTCTCCACATCGTCAAACAATATTAGCGATCGCATATGCTCTAGTGCTAATTCCTGTGCTGCTTATCACTATTCCCGCAGTGATCGTTGCATTTTCTGGGACAATACGTTTGGGTGCAAGGTTAATTTTCACTGCACTAATTCGTTGCAATTTTTTTGTGCAGTGTTTTACCGCCCTCATTCCGTTATTTTCCCCTAAAAGATTAGACACTGGCAGGAAATCAGATCCAGACGTTTCCATTTCTGTGACCGGATTCGAACTCGGTCACATCTATTGTTTATGCGCAACAAAATTTTTATCTTAGAAGATCCTAGCAAGCTGCAAGTTTTCTTTGCTGAGTTTCTAAGCAGTAAAAAATACCGTTATCTACTGAACCAATTAGGACAGTTGGTGAAATCGGGGAAGAAAAGGCAGAAGTAGGAAAACTTTTATAAAGAAAATTTAGCCTACTAATCTGCTGGCTTTTTAATAGTGAAGGAACTGGGGCGTTCCTATTTTGAAATCTTCAAAAAGCTCGTATGGCGAAATTTCGGGCTTCAACTGAGATGTAGTAACGGCTACTTCAGATTTTTTTTGTCCTGAACCCACTAACTTCACAATCCTGCTTGAAGCCGTTCTGCGTTCACGCATCATTACGTGAGGAAGAAGCAAAAAGTCGGTCCTCTTCTCTCTGTAGCGAAAATCGTGGTACCGGGTTTTTTTTCTAGGTAAGATTTTAGGTGCCGCGTCTAAGATAGCTAACTTCCTCTCAGTACAAAGTTCCATATTTTTGGCGAATAAACTTGATAACTTGCTGCGTCTAATGAATTTTACTCTCCTCAATATTCTGCGCGCTGATCACTTCAGGCAATTTTCGCATAAAAACCTTTTCAGAGCGTTTTTCACCTGGTTGCTTTTTTTAATTTGCCCTGCTTCTGTTACGATGAATACCAGAACTACCCGGCAGTCAGTGTGGTGTCCCACGTTAGCAATGTTAAAAAGCTGGGCGTCACTATGTCAGTTTTTGCCATTAATTTTTTAAACTTAAAGTGTTTTTTGTTTTAGTGACAAGTATCCATCAAAAAGGCCGTTGATTTGTAATTTTGGCGGTTATTTGGGTTTATTTGCAGTCGCTGCTGCCTTTTTCACCGGATGGATTGTGATGCTTGTTGCTAGGTAAATTTCCTTTTCTCTATTTTTCCATCCCAACCTTTTATCTAAGTTTTTACTTGTAACAAGAAGACTAATCCCTGAGCTATAGTTTAGTGTTATTAAGTGGATGGAGTACCTAGACACCATCCACTTAATAATATTGAACTGCAACTCAAATGTATAACACGGCAAGCCGTATGAATGCTGTTGTACAATCTTCAAATAAAATGTTTTTCTTTGTTTCCCCCAAAAATACAGTGATTTAAAAAAAAAATAGCTTTTAATAAGATTAAAAATTAACTTAATGAAAAATTTGACGACATTTTTTAAAAAAATGAAATTTTCATAGAATACTTGTGCTCTAAAGCTTTTTTTGTAGTATAAGTTTTGCTGGTGGATATACCATGGAAACAATTTGCCAGCCACTATTCTACGATCCTGAAATGCGTTTCTACAAGAAAGCACAATACATGCAATATGAAATAGCAAATCCAATGGATAAACAAACGTTCCAAGTCAATATCGGGTAGCTATTTGTTTTTTTTTTTTTTCAGTGAAAACAAGATAAAACCAGATAGCGACGCACCAGGCTTGCTGATAATGATGCATTTTTGTTTCAAAATTGAGACATTCGATCCGACAACTACATTAATAGTTGCCGTTTTACAATCTAACATAGTGTTAGCTACGTTTTGGACTTTTCTGCATGCAGGAGGAAAAAAATGCTGGCTGGGACGGCATTACCCGCTCCCCTTCCCCCAAACTCTACCCCACTCGCTCCCCTTCCCCAAACTCCACCCGCTCCCCCCTACCAAACCCCACCTGCTCCTCCTTCCCCCAAACCCCACTCTCTCCCCCTTCACCAAACTCCACGCGCTTTCCCCTCTACCAAACCCCACTC